AGAATATTTAAAAATTAACAATAACAAAATGCTTGACAAATAACATTTTCTAAAACAAAAACATGACGACTAAAGTTTTTGAAATTTAAACAAAAAACCAATAAAAGATGTAAACCTTGAAAACAAAATTGATACATTGTAATTTGTTTTCAATTTTTTTTTTTTGCCAAAATTTCTTCCTTTTGTGTCTACCTTTCTTCCTTTGGTTTCCTGTTTGTTTTTGTTTTAGTTTTTACAGTTATTAACCACAAAAAAAGGATGCAATAGCTTTAAATCCTACTTGAAAGAAAAGGCTAATTCACTGTAATGACATATACTACAACTACCACAATCCTTTGCACACTTCCTTTGGTTTAGTTCATTAGCACCAGTTGTCTCACTATATAATCAATAATATAAATTTGTATAGAAAAAGCAATAGCATATTTTCGAGTTCAAAATTACTGCTGTGTTCCTCGATTGCAGACTCATTTACTTAGGGTTTGCCTCGAATCAGTGTCTAAATATTAACAAATACAAACAGTAAGGTAAAGAATGCACAACTTCAACAATACAAACACTTTGAAATTCTACAGACCTTCACTGGAACACATGAATAACTAACCATGAGCAACAGAGAAATGGAAACAGAGAAATGGAGTATTTGCTAAGCATTCTGGTACTAGGTTGAAGTAAAATGAAATAGAGAATTGCTTTATCATAACTATAATTGGAAAGAAAAAATTTAGTTTAAAGAACATAAGTGTTGCACCTAAAAACAACTAGATTCAAAATTTGTGTGCAAATCTAATGTCTTTACACTGAAAGAGGTCTAAGATCAGTTTTTTAATACTAAGTTATAGGGATCAACAAGTTCAATTAAAATTACAGCCAATTGTGCAATTTTCATATTTTGAAGCAGATGACCAGTTTCATATGGCCTATTACATTACAAGAGCTTTTTAATGCTTTGGGGTGTAAGGTAATTTAAACCCCATGTATATTTTAGATGTACTCAACTTGAGAAACAAAACACTAAATTTCAATACTTAGTGGAAAATTATATTGTTTTGTCATCCAAATTGAGCTGATTAGGAATATGCTATAAACATACAGGCCTATCCATACCAATAGAAGCTAAAATGTCATCAAAAAATATAATGGAAGTAAAGTTTTAGATTTTAAATACAATGTTAATAAGCCATTTATCTTAGAGTAGCTTGGCTATGAAGACAATATCACATCAATTAGTTGCACATATGTTAGTATCGGCATCTATACACACTGGAATATATATGCATTGAAATACATATAGTGATACCGAGAGAGTGTGCAGTAATAAACTAATACTACCTCAATATTACTTTTAATGAATACTGTTATATATATTTATATATTTATATATATAACACTAATGTGAACAAGAGCATAGCATTTTGGTTTAACTTAACTAGACAATAAAACCGAAATCACAACTGCCTCAAGACAGAGAATATAATAAGTCTTTGTATCATTAACCTTCACAGACTCAAACATGATATTGAGATTCTTTGCACTGGTGCTCATACGTAAATTTGGAAGCCAACATCGGACGAATCAACAAGTTATTGTCAGTCCCAGTTTATGTAATTTTTTGACAATTTATATCTTAATAATGCCTGAATGATTGAATGAGTAAAACTGAGGTAGAAAATACTAAATTTTGATTGAAATACTGGTAGTACCATAGGTTAGACTGACCTCTTATCAGTCACGGGTTCATATCTAGAATGTTTATATTGATTAAGGTTAGTTGACAGAAATACAGCCAAAATCACTACATATCTCACCCTAGTAGAAAGATTAACTAGCTCAAAACTAGTGTGAGCTGTGTCGGTGTTTCTAATGAAACAGTAGTGATAAAAAGGTAAATTATACACCATGAAAAGATGAAAAAACGGATGCTAGTCCTTCGTCAGAGTAAAAGAGCTCTAGTAGGGTCATGGTAACGTGAGAAACACAGCTGAACAGAGCATAATATCTTGGAAAGAGTTCGTTGTTGATGAAATATAACATCATACTATGATGATATAATACAGATAGATTGTATAGACATAAATGTATACTCTTGGGGTGAGCATTTTGTAATGCTGTTAGGGTGAATAACCCCATGACCAATACACGCATGGAATAAATTACTCTACATAAATATATAATTGAGAAAGTATTCTTGAATCATAATAAAATTAGGAAAGAAGGAGTAGAAAATTTTGGAGCATTCATGCACATCAACTAAGATTTTGTCAATAAAGCAGACGTTAATTAATAGTAAATTCGGGATGGAATGAATTAGGATTAGGATATATTTTATTTTATGTTTTAATGGAAATGATGTGAAAAATTCAGGCAACGATGAGAATGATCAATAATTAAACCCACTTAAACGCTTATTGATTGTGCAGTGGAATGAGGTAAAATAAAGAGAAATAAGACATGGGAACTATTTTGAAACAAAGCAACATTTCGACTATGACCACTAGTGGAAAAAGAATAAAGATAATCAAGTACAGTACATGACCATTCTCGTTTAAAAATAAAAGAATTCTGCAGTTATAAACAATATATAGACTTGAAAGCAGAATTACCATACATGCAGATCTGAAATAATTTAATTAACAAGAACAGTACTATGTAAACTCATGTCGAACTTGTGTTTCTAGGTTAAATTATTTGTGTAGATGACAGCGATGAAGGAGGAAATTTTGTTGGTTAGGTATCGTCTTTGAATCATAAGGAATAAAATAAGACTTTCTTTTGATGGTGGAAAGCTTCAGAAATCGCTATAGTTAGCTGTTTGTAACTTGTTTTTTCAAGTCTTGTAATAATTACACTGCACATGTATAAAGCAAACATTTTACCAATATGTAAACTAGATAGCACAGATTATGTCAAACAAAAGTTTGTTCCTCTTCAAACATTTGTCATACATATGTAGATCTTAGATTACTTCTAAAAGCCCGTGACATAAGATTACTCGCATTCAAATGCACTAGTTATTTATGATCTATACAAAAACTGTGCCTTGAAGCTTAAGAACTAGTTAAATTACTATTGTTTCGTCATAAAAGAATTGGTCGATCAAGTATGGATTGATTGTCGGGGTTGTCCATTAGCTTGCGAGAAGATAGCCCCCCTGCCGTATAATAACTAGCGACACAAGGCGATCAGACCTTCAAACACCCCATCTTTCTACATACACGAAGAAATGAAGATCCCGTGATAGATAGTATAACAACTTGACAATAAAGAGATCATAAACAACACCAATTGGAAGTGATAAATTACTTGAAATGGTTTACAGATATGAATACTCTATTATAACTGTGCCTTGCAGTTTAATAGTAATTCTATTAGTAACGTTTAATGCTAAATTTAATGAAAGCATACGTAACATTATACGCTATTATAACCTCAAAAGTGTTATATTGGGAATATATATCTGGATGAACCTTTAACACCCGGGGTCGGGCTGGTTACTTGTTAAACGAAAAATAACTGCGATCTTTTCGCAAGCAAAAGTTGATTGTTATAAACGCCAGATGTCTGGTCTCGGAACACGAAATAGCAGTGGATTGAAATCGAAACAAAAATCCCACGTGAGAAATAGATCGGACAATAAAAGTCTTTTTTGGTTATAATGGGGTATATAAAATTTGAGATGATAGAGAAAATATCTTAAAATGTCTGGTTTGAATGCTTCGTGATTTAACCAAGACAAGGAATGCGTGTGTCTTGGCAAGGGTTACAAAGGTTGTCGGATCATCGAATGCAAATTGATTCGAATGATTGAACTGGAGATCAATGCTATTACAACTTGAATACAGATTACTAGGTGCATTGACCATAAAATATACACATAAAGGCTTCAAGGCCAGTAAACACGAGACTTAAAAAGCTGCAGATTTATGGAGAGGTTGAAAATAAGATCCCAAACTGTCAACAAAACTCGAAGTAATCTATTTCAAATCGACATGAAATGAATACTTCAGTCCGATCTAAATTTGCATAAATACAATTACTGGAACATCAAAGCGCTTTTGCCTTTGAAAATCACCGATACATACTGCAAAAGAGCTAAGCATTGCTTTGAAGAATCGAAACATTGGACTGTTTTACGGTATTTTATGTCTGAGTAGAATAACTGCTTGTGATTCGGTGACGTAGAGGGTGCTAGACTAAAGAAATGCAAGCAGACGTGTAAAAAAGAAACACAGCTCAACACAGCGACGTTCAATGTTATGACGGACAATTTATTTTTTTTATCGATTTTGACAATATAAGCATGGAATTTCTTCAATCTCTGTGTCTGAGAATTAGCCAGGGAAATAAGAATTAGCAAGGAATTACTTCAAAGGTTTCGTGAATTAAGAGGTTTTGAGATCCATGTTTGTAAACGTCCAGTCGTTACCCAGTTGTGAACTCCCCGCAGATCTATAACTATATACAGCGAACTATACAACCAAAGTTGGACAAATAGGCTTTATGACCCGTATTCCTGTTATAATTGTAATACTCTGACAACTAGCATAAATTAAATTTGAGGTACAAAAAACACAGTGATCGAGTTTTCTTCCCAAAATGACAAAAATTCAGCCATTTACTTGGGTGAATATTCTATTTAAACTTTGACTTGTCGCTTAGTAAACAGGAGTTTATGGTACAAATTGTTAGAGATTAGGACCCTAAGAGACTAGAATTATCAGTCCTAAAGCTAAAGAGAAGATATTCGTGTCTTGGATTAAGGAAATACGAGACAAGATAAGTATGTTTAGCAAGAGAAACCAAAAAATGTGACCCGCGAAAATTATGGAAGTCGTCAATGTAATCGAGCTTTCCAGCCGTATAATTACTAAGATAGATCAATTTAAACGCTATACCTCAGAAAGGAAATACTAGGGTTCCTTCCTATAAATATAGCGTCTTTGTATTCGCACTTAACTGTTAAGATACAAGCAAATCAAGGAGAGAATGCACTGACTTACTTTCGCATCACGTAATAATGAACACTCTCTGTGCTGGTCGGCGAAGATCTCTTTCGCTTCCTCCGCTCAAAATCGTTCAAATTTTCACACCATTCTAACGAGAAAGCCCTCTTGCATTCCCTGATAACGATTATGAAGGCCTGAAGACGGAAGGAGTGCCTTAAAAATGGCTGTAAAGGTTGGAATTCAGTGAATATTAGTTGAGTCCTAGTCTTGGTTCTTACTTTAGTCGAGACAAAAGCCAACTTGAGCCATTGTGAAGCGACACACATGCACGACACTTGATTGGTTTTCACTAATCAACCAATCATAACGCATCTTTTGTACTTACTGTCAATCACATACTCACCGCTAACACAGAAGCCGCAAGTCTCTCAGCTCCAGTAAAGTACATTTAAAGCCGTTTATTACCGCTTTTTTGTACTCAAAAATAGATGGATACGAGCGATAAAGCTTTTTTCTTTAGCGAGTTTTCGTTACCTTTTTGGTTCCTAACACGAAACGTGCCAAATATGACAGCCCTTCAAAACCGTATTGTGGATGAATCAGGTTTCGTATTAAAGTGCTGACAGCCTTTGCGAGTTTTATTAATAGCGCCTTTAGTGACTTCTCATTGGGTGGTTGTTAAAGTGATTGACATGGATTACGTTTGTCTTGAGAAGGCTTTCTCATAGGTCTAAAATGGGTAGACCAAAAATTGGAATAAATGATTTTAAACGTAATATTGCCAAACTATCAGCGAAAATTTACGAAGGACAGCAATAGGAAATTTTTAAGTTTCCGGAAGCTAAGCATGTACACGAGTGACGGTTTGTGTTAAGAATCACAAATTTGAGTGAAATGGTAAGGACACCGATGTCAGCAAAGCTATAAACCCTCTATCAAAATTTTTAATTAGCGGATAGCATAAAAAGGTTGGTTTATAACACCCAGCAACCGCACTTGTAAATAAGTTTAAACTCATCCGACATTTTTGACATGTGTGAAATGTTTAAGAGTTTTTCCGTTGAAGAAGACGTCAAAAAGAAGCGTATCCTAGCGACATGACATAAAGATGTTTTTCTTAAAACGACTAAATAAATAATGCTAAAAATTTCATTCAAATCAAAAATATGTAACATGAATATTATCACATCTTAAATTCAACAAATTATTTATGAGTTTGACATAATCATTTCACATGCTCTTTTACTCCGACGAAGGACTAGCGTCCGAAACGTCAGTAAGTTTTTTCATCTTTTCACGGTGTATAATTTACCTTTTTATCATTACAGTTTCACATACTGATGTAAGTGTTCATAAGGCGAATGAAATTACATAATTAAATATGCATGACAATAATAAAATATGTAACTAAAACACCAAAGTAATAATAATAATAATAATGATAATATTCTTTAAAAGAGCTTTCTAACAGCATCAACAATGATAACAACAAGCATAATAATAAATAATAATATCAGATAACGTAATTAGATATAATTGCAGTTTAAATGAAACAAATTATTATTATTTGGACTATTGATAAAATTAACCTGAAAGTATGGTGTTATAAGAATGCGATTTTAGCGGGTTCTACCAGTTATAGAACTATTGATAATGGTGAATTAATTCTGATATTAATAATGCAATGAAAATCTTCTGCTTTGGAGTAGAATATAATGGCGATGTGGTGGTGGTGATTGACAGACCTTGACGTTAAGTTATATATTTGCTTTTCTTGCTTCTTGCTACAATACAACTGCAGGCCAGCGATGATATCAATGAGAGCTAAGTCAGTTTGACTTTTAAATGAAAATTTTTGACCTTTTTATTCCGTCCTTTTTGTTCTCAAAGTCATTGATTTTCTACTCGTCGCAAATGACAACTTTTTTTAAATAACCATCATAAATGATGATATATCAAAAAATAATAATAAAATTCTTTGACCTTTTTATTCCTTCGTTTTTTAATTCATTTTGTTCTTTGAACTGATGCTGTAATCATTTCAATAACGTTTTAATAAAAAACTAGATGATGATATCAAGAATTAGTTCAAATGAATGAAAATGTTAGCTGTATGCGATAGTTATTCAAATATTCTAATAATTGTTCTTGACAAGTACGAACGTTGTCAAACTACCTTTAAAAAGACTTATGGCATATGAATAAACAAATAACATCATTCGACGTTTTTTGGGGCCTTTAATATCGCGTAATTAGATTTGTAGACTAAAAGTTAACTAAGTGGAAACTCGTAAAAAATAAAAACTACATGTATAACCTAAAGACGGAAGAATAAAAAAGAATTGCAGCTAATATGAGAACAAACTTTTTCCCAATTCTTATTCATCACGAATAACGATCTTAAATTAATTCACACTAAAGCGTTTGGTTTCTCATGGTTACTAGTACTTTGGACGTGACGCGATCATCGTCGATCGTTACGCTAAACATCGTCTCGCCTTCTTAGGAATGACTAATTAATAGCCAAACATTTATTATATATTCCCTGTTCGTCCTTCATACACTAAATATCAAGAGATTAAGCTGTACATGACCATTATTCGTTTTCGCTGACTCACGAGAAATCTTCCTGTAACCATTTACGTCACGTGTGTGTCATCACTGTGACGTCATCACACCCTCGACATTTACCGTGTGTCAGAAAGTAGGAGTTGAGAGACGTTTTCTGTCGCTTTGAATGAAATAAGCTTGGGGTTGTCGTGACAACGGTGGGATTTATAAGGAATGGATTAATAAAAATAAAATAAAAATGATAATAATAATTATATTTTAGTTAATAAGCTATTCCGAAGCCTATTAAGGGCTTGATTTAGCTTGATAAAGCTTGCAAACGGGCTAAAAATATTTTTAGTCAGCGTTTGGTATTCCTAAAGTTGAAAGACATAAATCTAAGGACAAACTTGGTTTGTGACAAATTTTCATCTATCTTTTATTCGTTATTTTAACACGCAAGCCTCAATGCAGAGACCCCTGACTTCGATTGAGTGGGAGACGCACACACCCAAGCATTCTCGACTGATTAGATGAGATACATTATCTCGCTTTTCATTGGTCGAGAACTAGAACCCCTTCAAGTGTGTTGAAGGTTTTTTACCCATGCCAGATCTCCCTGATATTCGATGATTTGACGAGTACACAACGAAGCTGAATACTAAAAACGTGTTGAGAGCAAAAATGGGCAAATCTGTAGACTAGGGGGTCTATAGAGGGTAGGAGAAAGAGCCGAGGGGTAAAACGAGCCACGCAATGAGTTTTTCGTCGATTCACGTGGGCTAAAGAGTCAAGCTGGCTGAAAATTTGACACTACCTGAGTAAAAAAAGATGTCCATTCATGTTAGAATCGTGATCTCCCCCCCCCCCAAAGCAAATTTCTAATTTAAAAACCAGATAAATGGTAAAAAGTGGCTCTAGAGACGACTATGCTAAAAAAGGAGATTTATACTATAAGGCTTGAATTCGTATAGCTCGAGGCGGGGACATACTGTTTTCTACTTTAGCCACTTACAGAAGAGTCTCGCAAGAAATTTGATAGGTGACTGAATCTAGAACATTTTCTCGACGGTAAGAACTGATGATTTATTGTCACAATTTAGAAATGTGTATCTTTGTCATAAGTATTATTAGGCTTTCGGTTTGTTTATTTTTTTATAATTTTAAGGGATCTTTATGAGGTTTGAATTAGTGATGCATATCTATAATGATTATTTTCTTCAGTTATTCAATATTTTCATTCTAAAATAAAATGTTAAGATTTTTAAAATTATTCAGTTTTTTTATGGCATTTTGATAGCACTGTGGCTTAGAATTTAAGTTTAGTTTCATTGTTTATCATTTTTCCGCGGGAATTTTGAAAGAAATAAAGTTGTTGTAAGATAAGAATGAAATCGTATTCCACCAACCAGTTCGACGGCACGTTGTATATCTCCTGCGTGATCCTGCGTGATTGTGCGTGATTCAAGATGGCTAAGACATTATCCCAAGTGGCGCCAGTACAGGGAAGTTACGTGATCAGAACCTGGTAATGCGCGCGCCTGCTGTTTTTTCTAGAGCGATTAATATAAGTGAGTTTATTCCTGATTCAGCCAGAATATTATACGCGCAATCCAAGAGTGTTTATCATTTGTTGCTAAGCGATAAGATCAAACTGATGAGGAACAGTCAAAAGTGACAAAAAAGTCCGGAGCACCGTGTAGTGTTATCCCCAATCTGAGATCCTAAGCCTTTTTTTCGTCTCACGAATGCTCGGCATCACGAAACAGATAACGAATATAGCTCACCGTTTTCGCTTTTTGCTGTATATAACACGCGATAATGCGTGGCTCTGTAACGATAATTTTTTTTTTTTTCAACTTTTAACATGAAAATAACCAATCTTTAAGATAACAATCAATACTATACAATATGCAGGAGCAGTACAACATAACACTGAAATCTTAAATCAAAAATTTTCTTTAAAATATCTCGAGTAAAAAGCAAGATCCTAGTTTTTGTATTAAAAAACTAAAGGAAAATTCAAATTCGAATGACAATTATTAACATAATATTCTAAGAAAGACAATATTTTATCTTCCTTCTGCAGTTGTTATATTTAATAATTCAAATTGTACGAATGATTGAATATTATATAACTCTACATGTTTTATTCTATCATGATTACATACCGAGAAGTAATTTTAAATATATCCAAAAATTAGTACACAAAATAACAAACTTATATAAAAGTACTAGTTTGAATAAATTTTATTTATTTGGCGCGGCGGCGAGTTTCAAATTGAAGCCAGAACTGTTGGGATTTTAGTATCGCCAAATTTCGAAATTACCCAATATTTTATTGTAATGGTTCAGAGACAAGATTCTCACGAGGTACATTTATCAACGATGCAAACGTTTTGTACGGTTGTAAAACCTTGATAAATATTCCTTTTTCGATATTCTGTTCAAGGTTTTTTCAATGAACAAATTTTATAAAAGAATTAAAGGCAAAGTTTTTAACTAAAACGTTTGCATTGCTCTATATACATTAACATTTGTTGAAAAATTATAGTATTCTATTGCTTTGACAAAATCGTATATTCAACCACTATTCCTTCATAAATGATCTACCTAACTAATTATTCATAATTATAGCCAGAAAAACCTTTCAATTTCTTAGCGTAAATTTAATTTTTTTCTTTACATACCTGTTCCAGCAATACTGGTAGTTTCAAGGTCGATGTATTCCAATTCCATGGATTTTGGTATCCTAG